ATTCAGTACAATTCTAACCTACAAGAATACTAACTGCCACTGCTGTAGTGTTTGCACAATTGCAACTGTGCGGCCCACAGAAATGTGGGCTGTAGAGACAGAGATAGGCACCGCCCTATCTCCACCCAAAGGTCTGGGAAGGAAGTTAACTAAGTTAATCGTCCTAACCGCATCCGAGCATCGAATTACGGCGACTTGCGTCATCACGCTTCTTTTCTTTTCATCTTCTTGGAACTCGGTGCTCCGATGTGACCGGAATATGATCACTCTTCGATACGCTATGATTATCCCCACTTGAATAAAGAGTTGCTGCATGCTGCATGTATTCATTATGGGTAGTGCTGTGTACTGGTTCGCTGGACTGGTTCCAGACTTATAAACATGCTTAGGTTCAAATAAAAAAAAACTAAAAGTCAAGATCTGATTCCAGACTTATGACAAAAAAAATGTCACATACCCCCGTTCTTTCCAAGCCACCTAAAACCTCCCATAGATTGCAAAATCTGTGCTGCGAAATGAAGACAACATTGCCATTGGGCATCGTCAAGTACTGGCCTCCATGTTATGTGGCCAAAGTTTTGCCCAAACCACATTGCAAGGTTGCCAAGATGCAATTTTGTATATGCCATGGGTTTAGGTCCGGACTTACGAGTCAAGAACCTCTGGACTTGAATCCAAACCTGAACCTAAATGTTGGTTTAGGTACACAGCACTAATTATGGGGCTCTTTGAAATAGAAGGAATGCGATTTATGATTTCCCACCAAAAAGGTTACTATCAAAGTTGTAGTCTGCATCTGTGTTAATTAGCTGCAGCAAGCCTTTATTCATGAGGTCAATATACATTGGCCCAGTATGTTTCTACTTAGTATATAGATAAGTGACTACTTGTACTACGTAGTAGCATATTGACTGAAAAATCTGGTTTCCAAGCCCTAAAAACTGCACTGGATGCCTTTTAACTTATTATAATTAACAAGTAGCAAACATTTCATCTTGCTAAGTACAGCAAGAAAGTTTCATATAGAGGTAGTCTGCTCAAAACATGTATTCAGCAGAGAGAGTCTTTCAAAGCTCAAATTTACTCGCCCAGTAATTCCTTAGATGCTCAAAAGCTTTTTACTAAGATGATCTTTCCATAACCCGTGCCGCAAATAATCTATTTCCGAATCCTTTTTTCCGGGAAGAAGCGTCCGTGCATGTTTTCCCTGCGGGTATCTGACGTGTTTGTGCATGCTGGGAGCTTTCAACTGATTCTGACCTTTAAACTAAAGGACTTTCCTGCGTCAGTTGAGGTCTCGGTAACCGTGACCTTGTGGTTTTCATGTCCGCGTCAGCTTTTTCTTTGGCACGCCGGCATTTAAGAAATAATCCTGAATGGGGAAATACACAGGAAAGCTGTCTAAGAGGGAAGTTTAGCCCTTGATACATTATTCAATTTAATGTTACAATACTGTACTTTCTTCACAGAGCCTTGAATCTATTCAATAAGAGCTAATCTATGTTAACTTAATATTGCATAACAGCACTAAGGCTAAGCACGTTGGCAGAACGTACTGCGCCTGCGCAGAACCCCGTATTTTCACGTTTTTCCTTAGTTTTTTGGTCAACGTTGCATCAGAATTTTGCCTGTTGCAGAGGATATTCTTTCTGACAAAACATTTGTAAACTTCTGTTGAAATGCTAACCTTATATGAGCGAATACAACCTTATATGAGATGTTCTGCCGAAATGCTATGTACAATACATTACGGGTTTCGCGCAGGTGCAGTACGTTCTGCCGACGTGCTCTAAGGCTACACCATTTTAATTTGTTGGTTCTTGGATTCGCCTCTTCATTCTTTTCTGATTTGCAAAAAAAAAAAAAAGATTCTGGTTCTGAATTAACTAAAAATGCTCATAATTAAATTGTGGCCCCAACAGTTGAGGAAAGTCCTTTTCTTCCTAGTTGTTACAGTTTTTCCATCTATCAATGCAGTGGTTTGATTAAAAGTTCAAAATTCATTGTTTACAGTCATGTAAATATTAACCCAGCCTCTTGTGTTGACTTCATGACTCCTATCATTGCATTTTGGGCAATAATAGGATGCCTAGACCTGTTTTTATTTTATCATTTTTTTCTGCCCTGTCGCATCATATTTTTTTTCTAAAAAACTCCAAGAACCAATAAAGTAAATTGGTGTGGCCTTAAGTTAGAATTGTCAGCAAACTTGTGCTAGGGTCAGTCGGGAAACCTGAAACACAACATTATTTCACAACATTATTTCTCTCTATATATTGATGATGAAAGTTTATTGCAAATACATGCCCGAGGGCTAATTGCAGTTACAAACAACATAAGAGGTATGTGAGACTATATCTACGTCTAGCATTATACTATATTCTACAACATACATGGTACTAGTTTTACTGGGTTTGACTTCTTCTTTTTTTAATTTAGGCAATGGAAGACGAATTTACCAACTTCTTCTATAATATGTGGGTGATTTTAGTAGTAAAATTGTTTTTTGGTGGTAGGGAATGGTGGGGAAGTAAGGGAGCATTTTGGACACGTATAACTATAATACATTATACGAGTAAGACAATACAATCAATCAATCTTTATTGCGCAACAATTGCAACAGGTACAATGTATGGCAAGTATAGACAAGAATAACAATACTAAAATCTACTTCTAAATGACTAACTCTAGACGCTACGCTGTAATTGTGTACAATATAGAATACAACACGGGGTATTCCGTATCGCCCGAGGTATCGGCCCGACCGCGGGTCGGATCGATCCGACTCGCGGGAGGGCCGGGACCGAGGGCGATGCGGAATACACCGTGTTGTATTTTATTTATATCATACCCACCCAAGAAAACACGCCTTTCAATGCAAGATGAGCCAAAAGTTGGTGCCCCTAAACCCTCAAATGCAACAACATCAGTTCCAACGTCCGGATTCTGTATTCGAATTTTCGAAAGGGGCGCACGCGGTTAGGACGAAACGCGTTCGAATCGTTTTATGGAAGCCATGGAAGCGTTCGATGACGGGTTCCGGACCGGGCCGTACCGTAACGTACGGCCCGGTCCGGAACCCGTTATCGAACGTTATCGCGGCCCGGGTATGATATAATATGAGTTATACAATATATATGGAACATGGATGATATAGGCCTCAGTCTGTGAGCCACTTCACAGTTCTTGCTGTGAATGTGAATCACTGTGTTGATGTTCTAGTTATTATTCTCCAAGGGGGATCCAGCCCTGAAACAAATGGAGTGTGTGTCCTTCATGGTTGGTACATACAGGGGAGCAACTCTAGCCTCAGCAAGATTCAATTTACTTGTAAATGAGTGTCAAATGCAGCAAAGGCGTGTGGATGTTAGTAAGATGTTTTGAGGCAAATTTATGAAAATGGGAGACATTTTGTTTGTCATACTTACAAAATATTAAATTAATAAAATGTAGAAACACAGGAAGAATAGAGCTGAGATTCAATTTACTTGTAAATGAGTGTCAAATGCAGCGGAGGCGTGCGGATGTTAGTAAGAGGTTTTGAGGCAACTTTATGAAAATGGAAGACATTTTTGTCTGTCCTATTATAAAGTTTAAGGAACACAGGAATAATAGAGCAACTCTAGTCTGTCCACAAGATTCAATTTACTTGTAAATGAGTGTCAAATGCACTTGAGGCGTGCAGATGCTAGTAAGAGGTTTTGAGGCAACTTTATGAAAACTGAAGACATTTTTGTCTGTCATAGAGTTACAAATGTAGAAACACAGGAAGAATAGAGCTGAGATTCAATTTACAGTACTAAATGTAAATGAGTGTCAAATGCAGTGGAGGCGTGCAGATGTTAGTAAGAGGTTTTGAGGCAACTTTATGAAAACATGTAGGAAAAATAAAGCTGAGATGTCAAGCTGAATTGTGGATCATAATAATTCATAAAGTACATTGTATGACATTTATAATATACAACATTTTGAAGCAAGGATAATATAGGAGAATAGGCTTTTTTTAAATAGTGATGTCTGGCTAATTTTTTTTAATTTCTTTTTACAACAGTAACGTTATATTTTTGTTTCTAAAAGTATGTCATATAATTTTTAGAGTATTCTCCACTCAATACCCCCGCATATACACAAACAATTAAAAATCCTTTTTCTCAGTACCCCTGAACATGCCTGAGTGTATGTTTGAGTAGAAGGCACTGGGCCCATCCCTATCCTTCCACTGCTGCAGCTGTGTGGCCCCAACCATTTTACACCTGGCTGGAAGGAGGAAAGTTGTGTTTTAAAAGTACCTTTCCCTGGGATACTACTTCAGCCTAGTGCATTCAGGAATCCCATCACTTCTCAATCTCCTGTCAGCTAGTCTTAAGTCCAGGCCATCAACACCACATGTCCTCTCTACCAACTTACAATTTCTTTCAGAATTGTTGCAGACCAAGAGCCATTAAACATTTGTCAGACTTACATGTAGCCGCATACAGGGTGAAGTATGTTTTAAGTACTTCTCTTTGACGTCAATACTCCACAGGGTATCACAGTTTTTGAGGTAACGTTGGTCTTTTTAGAGTTTCAAGTGATCTGTCAAACTGTTACTGTGGATTAATAGCTTATGGCCTCAAAAAGGATATGTGACCTTTATGATGTGCACAACTAAAATGTTGGGTGGATAAATATACAATCTAATATGTAAACTTAAGGTATGTGTTGGAACAATGTCTGCCAGTGACCTCAAAATGTGAATATCGAGTCATCCATCCATCCGTCCATCCATCCATCCTTCCATCCATCCATCCATCCATCCATCCATCCATCCATCCATCCATCCATCCATCCATCCATCCATCCATCCATCCATCCATCCATCCTTCCATCCATCCTTCCATCCATCCTTCCATCCATCCATCCATCCATCCATCCATCCACATTCATTCTTCTTTGTGTTGGAACAAAAGTTTTTAATTAAATTAGACTCTAAACAGATCTGTTTGACTCATATGTTTCAGTCAAGAAGAGGCCCAGCAGATAGACCAGGAGTTGTTTAATGAGTACGCGTACAGTGTGGATCAGCTGATGGAGCTGGCCGGCCTGAGCTGTGCCGTGGCCCTCGCCAAGTCCTACCCGCTCACCTCGCTCAAGAAGGACGCCACGGTGCTGGTCTGTTGCGGGCCGGGGAACAACGGCGGGGACGGGCTGGTCTGCGCCAGACATCTCAAGATGTTTGTAAGTTGTTTGGTCTTTCTTTTCCGGTGCAATGGCCAAGTGGGTAGAGTGCTCACCTTGCATTCAGTAGGTTGTGAGTTCGATCCCCGGCCGAGTCATACCATCTCAAGATGCTGCGGCCTGGGGAACAACAGTGGGGATGGGCTGGTCTGCGCCAGACATCTCAAGATGTTTGTAAGTTTTGTTTATAACTTAGTTTATTCTTTCTTCTCCAGTGCAATGGTTAAGTGGGTAGAGTGCTCACCTTGCATTCTGTAGGTTTTGAGTTCGATCCCTGACTGAGTCATACCAAAGACTAATTCTCTGCTCAGCACTTTGCATTTGGGAAAAAGTATGGAGTGTTAACACACACCACTACCAATGGACTAGCCCTCTGCTGTAGTGGCCTGTGTGTGTGGGAGTTAGGAGTGGAACACATTGTACCACTAAGAGGCGAGGGACCTCTGCTGTAGTGATTGCACTTTCTGTGTGACCCAAATGCTAACAGAAACAGAGATAGGGGTCATTCCATTGTAGCATTAATAGTGTGGGAAGGAAATTTAGCTTAACGTTTCTTCTCCCCGAACTCCCCAGGGCTACAACCCCTCAGTGTTTTACCCCAAGAGGACAGACAAGCCTCTATACAAGAACCTCACTATCCACATTTAAGTACTGTTGGTGTTAATGGTTTTATCATTTTCTATGACTTACATATTATATACATTTTGCTCATTATTTCTTCTCCCTGACATACTAGGGCTACAACCCATCAGTGTTTTACCCCAAGAGGACAGACAAGCCTCTGTACAAACACACAAACAACTATACTGTTACAGTTAGTTGACTTTTTTTATGCACTTTTTTGAGTTGTTACGGTATTCTTTCTTCTACCCCAGGGTTACAACCCCTCAGTGTTTTACCCCAAGAGGACAGACAAGCCTCTGTACAAGAACCTGACCCTACAGTGTGAGCAGCTGGACATCCCGTTCCTGTCCCACCTGCCCAAACCTCAGCTGCTCAGCGACGGATTCAGCTACATCGTCGACGCCTTGTTTGGCTTCAGCTTCAAGGGCGAGGTCAGGCCGCCGTTCGGAGACATCCTGAAAACCCTGAAGGAAGTCACGGTGCCAGTCTGTAGCATTGATGTTCCATCAGGTAGGACATCTACATGTACATAAGGCCACACCAATTTAATTTGTTGGTTCTCGGATTCGCATCCATATAATCAAATCAACATTGCCTTATGAAAGAATCTATGGTACGCTATGCAATTAACAATGCCCAATGGAGCTGAATTGAAGAATATAATGGAGTTGATAGCCAATCAGACATGAATATGTGTTGAGTGACAGTTTATGGCAGAGCATGAATGAAGTCAATTGAATTTTCCATTAGATTCAATAAAACCAATATTTCAGCACCAAGGAGAGGCATCTGGCTGGGAAAATCTTATAACATGTAATGAGTAACAAGTAGATACCACAAATAAAGTGAATTCAGTTTTTGACATAACTATAATGATTTCTATCCTGAGGCAACACCAATTTAATTTGTTGGTTCTCGGATTCGCCTCTTCATATTTTTCTGATTCGCAAAAAAAAAAAGATTCTGGTTCTGAATTATTTCAAATGTACTCATATTCAAAATTTGACTTCTACATAATCAATCAATAGTTCTTGCTTCATTGTTTAAAACTCTTGCGTACACGTCAAGTTATCTCTTGTGTCACTGACGAAGGATAGTGGATGCTACCTGAAATATCTGACCAACATCATATCCAGTTGCTTGAGTAACTGCTTTTTGTCATGATAAGCTTGACTGTATTTTTTTTATCTGCACACTCCAGGTTGGGACGTAGAGGGTGGAAACCCAGATGGTCTCCAGCCAGAGTTTCTCATCTCGCTGACAGCGCCCAAGAAGTGTGCAGAGAAGTTTGCCGGGAGGTACCACTATCTCGGGGGGAGGTTCGTTCCACCGGGGATCATCCAGAAATACGAGTTGAACCTACCGACATACCCGGGTACGGAGCCCTGCATCAGGCTGCATTGACACAAGGGGATGGTTTCAAATTCCAAGTGTGTTTTGTAAAGAATCTGTTGCCATTGAAGTTTGCATCTAGTGCAGTTGTGCTAAAAAATTAAAGACTTGAGTTTTGGGGAGTATGAGGGAAAATTTGAAAAAAAAAATTTCATTGCTGTCTACCTTAAGAAAATGTTGTGTCTTTTGGTCTAGTCAGGAAGATGGCTAGACTGTTGGAAAATGATAGAATGCAACAAAAAATAAATAGAATGGGGACCCGGGATAATTCTAACATACAGATTCTGAAGTGGAGTGGCCAAGGCATTCATCTACATGTCATATAAAAACAACATCAGTTACTCTCCAAGCAGAGGTTAGGGTTGCTTTGGACATTGTTTTTCATTAGCTTTTTTTAGGCATTTTGTCAGGATTATTTTGTCAGCTTTTCTTTAGGAGGCCCATAGAAAGGCCAACAATATCAAAACCCTGACAAAGCACCTAAAAAAGCTTTAATTTAAAAGTCCAAAATAGGCATAACGTCTGCTTAGAGAATGAACAGCACATTCGAAGTTGTCATTTGTGCTATAAAGGAATGTTAATTGTGCTTCTTTTGCCTGAATGTCTGACTGCTGTCATCTGTAAAAGAAGTCCTGGCTTCATATATTTCATTATAAACTTACTCTACAATTTACAGCAATCAAAAGTCAGGAAAGCCAATGGAGTGAAGTTTTTTGAAACCATGGACTGTGAGTTAATCAAGCTTTGGTAGAAATGTGCTGTAGTATTTTGAAACTGTAGATGATTTTCGTTTACTTAATATTTTCCCAGAACCAAATAATATACATGTGTAGATAGCCAACTTTAATGGAATTTCTGTAAAACTGTGAGATACGATAATTATTGTTTTTAGGCATTTCCTACTTTGTTGAAGTGTGTGTATTTGGTTTAAATTACCATATGACAATTAAGATTGTGGTGTTCAAGTAATTTCATTGGTTGACTAATCAAATACAGTATACTATGCTGTATATGCTTTCTTTGATAGAAGGTGTTTTTTTTTCAATTTTTTTTCACGTTATCATGATTATTGCTGTTATGCAGCTAGAGAGATAATCAGTGCTTTAAATAGTATAATATTATTATCAGTCACAGATAGATAACAAAACTATGTCTACATTGTTGAATGTTGGAAATCGACTGTCAAATGCTAGCTTCAATGGATGGTTAAACTATGTTTCAAGGCTTGGAAACTTTTTGCTATATTCCAGGCTATTCCATTTAAGGACATGAGAGGGGCCGAGAAACTGTATCACTGTCTTTTAATTTTTCTTTTTCAAAAACAAGCACTGTCTGAAAGCTGTCTTCAACTGTGGCTGCTGTGGCTGTTGAAAAAAAATCTGATGTCCCCCCCCCCCCATCTCTGGGTTGGTGGAAAAACAGTCTGGACCGTTTGGGAGCGGAAAAAGCGGTCTGACCCTGTCATGTGTAGTTGCGCCCCCTGATGTGATAGAACTGCATACTTCCACCCAACCGCTCCATACTGGACCATTTTTTCCACCAACCCCTCATCTCTGCATATGATCCTGCACTGTTGAATGATGTGTTTGTAGTGTGCAGTTTGAATTCAGTTCCATGGTTTTTGTACAGACTTGTGAGAAAAAAAAACTGCTTCTGAAGAAATTTTCTGGTGGCTTTTGAATGGCTGGTGTGCTTTTTTGTGTCTGTGTACAATTTTATCCTATGCAGGTATCTAAATAATCAACTTTGACATTCTGAAGCAAAGAAGCAGAAAAATTTGATTCTTCTGATTGCTTCCATATCAATATTTTTAGTCTGACACCCATCGCCATTGAATTGCCAATATTGAGAAATATCATACAAATAGTGTTGAAGAGGGCCTTTTTTCTATTGACAGTGTTTTTTTCACAAGTAGGCTGAAAATGTATTTTGAGCCTATTACTTGGACAAGAAAGTGTGTGCAACACACAATAAAAAAAAGAAACAGCTAAACCCTTATATTTATTCAATATGATCATAGTTGCAAGTGCAACGTTGCTACGTTACAAAAAAGTGCCCTCTAGTGACAAGATATCATATAGCATCATAACCTATTAAAGTACTTCTCTGCTTCTCAACATTGAGTAACTTTAGATGTATTATTTGAGTCACCCTTTTTTCAGCCTCAATTATTTCTTACTAAGGCTGAGAACAATGCTACCATGGCTAGCTATATCTCATGCCTTCGATGTTTAGATTTCAAATATTTATGAACTGCAGTGCATATATTTACATTGTACTAGTAAGAAAACTGAGGTATTTGCTTCATATATAAGTACTAATCATTATGCCAAACATACTAATTAACATGTTTAATGTATAATCAGAAATTCACTCTACATTAAGGATTTAATGATAATTTACACTCAATATTACAGTCTATCTGCATGGTACTGTAGACTGCAATTCTACCACTTTCTGTCAGGAGGCGTAACTACATGGGAAAAGGCCGGACCGCTTTTTCCCCCCAACCTGTAGCTATAAACAATTCCTTTCCGAGAACCTTTTTTCACACACATCCCATAATGCACTGTATATCCCATGATGCAACACACTTCCCACAATGCCCTCCCTCATCCCGGAGGCCAGGTCATCTGGCGTCCGCCGAAGATGTGCAGGTGAACGTGGTAGACAGATTGGGCGCCGTGGCGACCGTCGTTCACGACCATTCGGAATCCGCTGCCCGCAATTCCCTGTTTCTCCGCGCACTTTCTGGCGACCACCATCAAATGTCCCAACAGCTGCCAACAAGAAGCAGAAAAAAAATAACATTAGTGTTTGCAGAAGGAAAACATGTTGTTTTTGCTAAGTTTCCTCTAATTCTTCTCCAAACACATGAGGTCAATGACCTGGACCAGACGTCTGTCACCATGGTAACTTGTGCTGTAGCAACACCCTGTGGTGTTGAGTTACATTACCGGTATTTTATAGCAGGGCAGAGCTGGATTGGCTGGTCACCATATAGGTATGAGTGTAGTTACTGTACGTAGTTTGTTGGGCTAGACCATGTGAAGGTAAACATGATGCATTTGCTTTACTTTCATTTCTCAGCCTTTACAATGATAAAGACAATGATAAAGTTATGCAATGTAAAATAGCCGTTAACCTGTTCATCGCCGTCTTCAGCCTTGGACAGTTGTGGGATCGGCTTCTTGGGGATGACCAGGAAGTGCACGGGAGCCTGAGGGTTAATGTCATGGAAAGCCAGGCACTGCAAAAAAGATCGAGCACAACAAAAACATTAGGACAATCCAAAAAGTAAATTTCTGGGTCATTTCTTTACAAAAGTACATCGGTATGTTGAATTATCCGTATTTCATTGCAAATAATTTCTGAAATAAGTGCCAAAATGTGTTCTTAAGAGCTGGAAACACAGCTGTCAGCCACGTTTGTTTACATTCTCAGCTCAGGTAGTTTGTGGTGGTACCACAAACTCATGTGGGCTATTTTAGCGCCAACCAAATGCCAGAAATGTGAGATAATAGCACAAATATGTTGAAAAGTAGATATGAATTACAATCACACAAAGATCTTTTTTTTTCAACTAAGATATTTAAATTTTATAGGTGTAAAAAGTTACATTATGCCCAGCCAATTTAAGTCATCAAACATGTTCAATCCAGGAGGCTAATGCTGCCCGTGACCCCTGAGGTCACAAAAGGTCACGTACACAAAAGGTCACGTTCTATATGCATTCCTGATTACCCAAATATTCCATCACGTCACTGTATATCAGCAGAACCTGTTCTATATGCATTCCTGGTTACCCAAATATTCCACACGTCACTGTATATCAGCAGAAAGTGTTCTATATGCATTCCTGATGCCCATTTAATTAACCTTACTTACGACTTAATTAAGTTTCTTATAGTACTAGTAATACCCCTTTCTGGAATAGGAGTATTTTCTTTTCCCCTTCTCCTTATTCAAACAATTTCTACTTTTTCTAACAGTCGATTTTCCTGATTCCAACCCCGTAAAAATTCACCGCAACGTGCCACAGACCTCGGCGGGCGGGCGACGCACCTAGCACCGTGGGGACTCTGCGACGCTCACGATGGGCTGCTTACCAGGCTAGTGTAGCTGCCAAACTAAATCCGATGTACCTATTAGTGGCGTAGTTTTAGTTTGAAAAATCCTTACATTTTGCTATCTACGGTTTGTTAATCTGAAGAATTGGACGTAACGTGTATTTTTACTTTACACTACAGGTGCATGCAAGAAAAGGGGGAGGGGCGACGAAGCTTTGTTTGATATGCCCGCGCTTAAGCGAGTTACACATTGTGTTATGCAATGTATCCGTGCGGAAGCGTTAGATTTGAGTGTTATACCTGTTCGTCTTCATAAATAATGTCGGCAGGAATTTCTTTCCGGATGATTTTTCCGAAGATCGTGTCCCCGCCTTCCCGGGCCGAGTGAGCCCTGGTGACCTCGTCAGCCATGGTGGTCACGTGTACGAAGGCCCACAACGACACTGCGCTACACCTCTTCCTACGAAGGCCCACAACGACACTTCCATACACCACTTCCGCTACCCTTCCACACCGCGCTGCCAAGGGCTACCTGCCAATGGTGTATACATTGGTGGCCAGCGACATTAAGGATCGGGCACCCAGGCTAACGCAAACCCTGCCTTTTCTTCTCAGTATTAGGCCACACCGACTTCATTTTATGGATGACATCCGCACGCATTGATTTTCAAAAATGAAAAAGATCACGTCATCCGAGGCTCTGGCCTGGATAGTCCATGGTAGCTTGCTATATAGCGACAGTACGGAGCCGGTGGTAACTCTGGAGGATGGCACCCAGGCTACCAAAGCTCCACGACTCAAGACCTGTGTCGATTCATAAATCCGCAAAAAAGCCAGCATGTGCCGGCTTGTCGTATATGTCGCTATGTTCTGCCGCAGTTCTGCCGCAAATTCACAATACCAACTTTGCCTTAAGTTTGTATTCCTGTGGTTTAGTAGCATTTTTATTTTTGGCAGGATTTTTATTTCATTCGCCCGCGCGCACTAGTTTGGGGGTCTTCAGAGGATGTCATCAATAAAATTAAGTCTGTGTGGACTGTGGCCTAACCCAGTGATAAATAGTCTTTTTTTGCGAGCGCCAATGTCAGTAGTGTAGGATAATCGCCTGGATCAATTTCTGCAGTTAGGATGTTCAACATGACTTTGCTACAAAATAGCCCCCTCCTTCCTACCTTATGTCTCAATAGTCATACCAGGAAAATATCGCCAGGAAATACACGCTGGTGTGACGATAGTCAGTAATTTAGAACTCATCAATTTAGGACTATAAATCCACTGAGATAGGATAATAGCTACACAGTCAGCTGTTACAGGCTTTCAATTCATATTAGATGGCCTCACGGCCAAGCCTGTACAAGGCTATAACCCCCTTTGAGTGTCTCATGGCCAGGCCTGTTCCAGGCTATCAATTCATTTTGAATGGCTACAAGACCATGGCCAAACCTGTACAAGGCTGTTATGGTTTGTAGCATGACGCAATCACGCAACCACATGTGACACATGTGTTAGTGACTCGTTCCCAGGTTTCGACATCAGGGGCTAAAATAGAGATTTACCGAATCCCGGTATAGTGGAATATTTCGCTAGCAATCACCCCTTGCACACCCTCTTCTTGCTCATAAGTTTATATTGTTCCGATTCTTATAGATTTAATTTTCTTTTGGACAATATACGAGATCTTGATCGTCCTATGACAAAAGTAAGAAGAAGTGCAGTACGCAATCATCCTCTATGTGAGACTCCTTTGAAACTCCTTTGTTTTTATGCTAAAAAAGACCTAGACTAACATGTAAACAAACATGGCGGCCCGGTTGTGTTTGGTGCGCGACACGGTAGAATTGGTCGTGTTGGCTTCTTAAGAACCGGAAGAAACTACACAATATATAACTTAGCATTTGAGTCACGTTTTATGGACATGTGTAGCGCCACACAGCGTGATCTGCATAAAATTATCTCATTTGCATGTTCGTGAGATTTAAATGGTACAAATTACCTCATTTGCATGTTCATGAGACTTAAATGGTTCTGACCGCACAACACAGTATTCATGGGCGAACCCCGTACGGGTACAAAGTAGTGCTACACAATACTAGAGAAAGGTGCAGAAATTGTTCTGTGCGTGGCATCGAGATGGAACCTGTGGTAAATGTTAGAGGAATACGTCAGATTTGAGACTGTAAAAGTTGAATTACGGTGCATGTTCAGTCGGCGTAGATTTTTGCGCTTTGATACTTGTACTGTAAGTTGTGTACTACTACAGTTACGTCATAGTTACGTCAGCCACAGGTAAATGTGACCCTGCAGTTTGGAGACAAATCTCTAGAGGCCACTGCTACACTGTCCATTAGCCAGGTTTCGTCCTGACGTTTCGTCGACGTCAGGACGTTTTGCACTCAAGGGAACGACTATTTCATACTCTAACATTTATTAATTACAACAATAGCGATAATCGTAACAACACAATTTCAGCTAAAAATATGGGACGGTAAATCATAACAGGAAAGCGCAATTTCGGCGGCGTTTTCGGGAATGTTACTACGAAAGGCACGCTACTTTTATTATTCAACATGTGAACAAACATGACGGCCCGGTTGTGTTTGATGCCGACACGGTAGAATTGGTCCTGTTGGCTTCTTAAGAACCGGAAGAAACATCACAATATATAACTTAGGATTTGAGTCACGTTTTATGGACATGTGTAGCGCCACACGGCGTGATCTTCATAAAAATTATCTCATTTGCATGTTCGTGAGATTTAAATGGTACAAATTACCTCATTTGCATGTTCATGAGACTTAAATGGTTCTGACCGCACAACACAGTATTCATGGGCGAACCCCGTACGGGTACAAAGTAGTGCTACACAATACTAGAGAAAGGTGCAGAAATTGTTCTGTGCGTGGCATCGAGATGGAACCTGTGGTAAATGTTAGAGGAATACGTCAGTTTTGAGACTGTAAAAGTTGAATTACGGTGCATGTTCAGTCGGCGTAGATTTTTGCGCTTTGATACTTGTACTGTAAGTTGTGTACTACTACAGTTACGTCATAGTTACGTCAGCCACAGGTAAATGTGACCCTGCAGTTTGGAGACAAATCTCTAGAGGCCACTGCTACACTGTCCATTGGCCAGGTTTCGTCCTGACGTTTCGTCGACGTCAGGTTTTGCAGTCAAAGGAACGATTACTGTAATTCCATTTAATATTGCGGTTGGAAATTATAGCGGTGGGAGGAAAATGGACTAGCTCACGGCACTTAATTTTAGCGGTGTGGACAAGGCAGATGATCAAAGTGTTCAAATACAATGTATTAAGGTACTGAAATTTTAGCGGTAAAAAAGTAACAGCTAAATCAGCTATAATTAAGTGACAGTTAACAAATCAAAAGTATATATGATATGAATGAATGAATGAATGAATGCATGAATGAAACTGTAAGCGAAAGGCTCTGCAAGTATTGTACAGAGGGAGCAGTGGAAGATGAAATTCATTTTATCTGTCAGTGTCCTCATTACGATTTTGAAAGAAAAAGTTATTCAAGAAAGTCGCCAACATTTCCCCAAATTTTTCATATCTCAGCAAACAACAACAGACTATATTACTGCTAAAGTCTCCCAACCCATTTATTTTTTCAAAGAGTCGGACAATTCATCTCCCACTGCATCCTGAGAAGAAGCTAACCCCCCTAATAGCAAGAATAGTTTAATAGAGATAGTAGGTTTAATAAGTATATCGTACAAGTAGAACTTTATGTAAGCATATAGTTTTATAGCACCACATTTGTCAATGTCTGTTTGCAATTAGCCCTCGGGCAAGAACTTGCAATAAACAACTCATTATAATCAGGCATAACACATGTAACCTATGAGATCTTATAATCAGGCACACCAACTTGAAATCTATGAGGCCTTGTAATCAGGCAAAGAACATGTCACCTATGAGGTCATGTCATCAGGCATAGATCATGTAGCCTATGAGCACATGCAGCCTATGAGGTCCTGTCATCAGGCATGAAACATGCAGCCTATGAAGTCTTGTCATCAGGCATAAAACATGCAGCATATGAAGTCTTGTCATCAGGCATGAAACATGCAGCCTATGCGGTCAAACTACTTTCTGCTTTTCAACTATGAACGAACATATATTAAAGTTAAGGTCATTTTTGCACGACATTCAGGCCCCAGGCCACGTCTATCCAGGTCTTGTCTTGTCATCAGGCATAAATCATGCAGCTTATAAGGTCTTGTCTTCTCATCAGGCAAAAAAACACGCAGCCTATGAGGTCTTGTTTTGTCATCAGGCATAAACATGCAGCCTATGAGGTCCTGTCTTCTCATCAAGCATAAATCATGCAGCCTGTGAGATCTTGTCTTCTCATCAGGCATAAAACATGCAGGCTATGATGCCTTGTCTTCTCATCAGGCATAAAACACGCAGCCTATGAGGTCCTGTCTTCTCATCAGGCATAAATCATGCAGGCTATGAGGCCTTCCTTGACCATCCTACGGTCGCACAGCTTTGCCTAAGTCTGTGACCGCCCCAACGGTGTCGCTAAAGTTTTGCCTAACTCTGTGACCACCTTAACGGTGTCGCTAAAGTTTTGCCTAACTCTGTGACAGCCCCAACGGTGTCGCTAAAGTTTTGCCTAACTCTATGACCGCCTTAACGGTGTCCTTAAAGTTTTGCCTAACTCTGTGACTGCTTTAACGGTGTCCCTAAAGTTTTGGCTAACTCTATGACCGCCTTAACGGTGTCCCTAAAGTTTTGCCTAACTCTGTGACAGCCCCAACGGTGTCGCTAAAGTTTTGCCTAACTCTGTGACAGCCCCAACGGTGTCCCTAAAGTTTTGCCTAACTCTGTGACCGCCTTAATGGTGTCGCTAAAGTTTTGCCTAACTCTGTGACCGCCCCAACGGACTCCCTGAAGTTGTGGGTCTAACTTGTGGGTTCTGGGTCACAGAGTTAGGCAAAACTTTAGCGACACCGTTGGGGCGGTCACAGAGTTAGGCAGAACTTAAGCGAGACCGTTAAGGTGGTCACAGAGTTAGGCAAAGCTGTGAGACCGTAGGATGGTCAAGGAAGGCCTCATAGCCTGCATGTTTTATGCCTGATGACAAGCAAAGATCTCATAGGCTGCGTGTTTTATGCCTGATGAGAAGACAAGATCTCATAGGCTGCGTGTTTTATGCCTGATGAGAAGACAAGACCTCATACCCTGCATGATATATGCCTGATGAGAAGACAAGACCTCATAGCCTGCATGTTTTATGCCTGATAAGAAGACAAGACCTCATAGCCTGCATGATTTGACTGATGAGAAGACAAGACCTCATATCCTGCATGATTTATGCCTGATGAGAAGACAAGACCTTATAAACTGCATGATTTATGCCTGATGAGAAGACAAGATCTCA